AAAAAAGGAACCCTGTTTAAAAAGATTAAGTCGTATTGTACCATGTTGAAAAAGTAGGGTGAGAATGTAATACTTTGATCTGAACTTTAACCCTAGATGGTTTTAAATAGAGTCTAAGCCTAATCACAGAAAGAAAGTAAATCAAATCAAATCACTTACACGAGTGCTTTTCACTGCTAAACAAATACTCACGTAGAATCGTAGTTAGAAATACTTTTATTCTCCAACAGCAACTGAGCACTGTTAAACACATTTGAATGTTTAAGTCAAATCATTATGTTTAGAGGACTTCGTGGGTAGGGCTTATTGGATGTTGGTGGCTGATCCCATGGATGAGACTCAGCTGTGTAATGGAAAGAGGGAAATTATAATTTCATATCTGATAATGCTTTTTTTCTCCTGGCATTCCATTTGAGACACTGGTTTATTGCAACAGATCCACGTGTGATGTACTCAGAACCTGCTAAATTTGTGGCAAAACTAAGGGATATGAAGACTGATAAAAACATCATTATGTTTAAATGTGAAATTGGAGCAGTCTAATTAATTCAGCCCAGATCCTTGGGCAGGAACCATATCCAGAGCCTTCATAATGAAGGTATATATGAAGGCATCTTTATATGTCTTTATATGTATTGTTTTGTAAAGACACTTTTCTTTTTTCTTTTTTGTTGGTTTTTTTTGGTCTGGTATGGTGACGTTAGAATCTAATCGGATTTCGAATCCGATCGGGTCAAAAAAAATTTAAACTCAGGTTGAGTGGGATTTCAAGTGCTCCGCTCCATCTCCGACCCATTTACAGGCCTACATTGGAGACTCTTCTTTACATTTTTCTGTTGCATGTGACTTTTTATTTATTTATGGGTAAAAGTTGAATGTGACATTATTAGACGGAAATAACAACTTACTGTAGGGAAGTGATTCTGCATGTGCCAATCCAACTACACAAGCAAAACGACCATTTTCAAAAACTAGCAAGGTTGGATAAGTTCAGTTAATCAGATATACTTATAGAAGGAGAAAGCCATAAGAAATCAAATGTTCAACTGAACAGAAGAAGGTGAAATGGGCCTTATATTCAAAGTTCAAACATTTCATTTCCAGTTCAACCCTCCCTCTGTGTATGTATCGGTTGCATGGAATAATCTTTCTTTCTGACCCAAAAAAAAATGAAAAAAATAATCCTCTTACCTACCAGTCCTTTTAATCCTCAGCAATCCCTAGTTGTGAGGGTGAGTTATCCTTGCACCTCTCTAAAGTTTAAATTGATTTATAATTGGCTTATATTTATTTATTATTTATTTTGGGTGAGGGTTGAATGAGGGTTGAAGGTGTTGGGGATATCACTTTTTGCTATCCCGACCAATGATGCAATGACACGTGTAATAACTGTTCTATGTATTCTTGTATTATTAGTCGAGGATAGCAAAACAGTGATATCTCTGTTCAAAGTAAGTTTTTTTGGTTTGTGTCACCAACGCCATCTGTGAAGTAGCAGGGATAGCAAAACGTAAGTTTTTCTGGTTTGTGTCACCATCTATGAAGTAGGAACCCTTTTCCAAACTGCATAGAGTCATCTACAAAAGCTAAGGCGAAAATCCCGACAAGTAAAGTAGCAAACAAAACAGAACAGAACAACCATAAAACAAAACAAAACAAAACCTTATCTCTTATCTCTTCCCAACAACAGAGCTTTCACAAGAACCGAGTCTTTTTACGTCTCTCTCTCTCTCTCTCTCTCTCTCTCTCTCTCTCTCTTGTTGTATTGTAGCTTTTCCCTTGGCTTGATTGCTGATTAGAAAGAATTTAGAATATCTAATCAAATTTATAGAATTGAGCAGCAGCAGCAATAATGCCATCTTCATCGCTTCGATCTTCTTCGGAGTCGGAGAGCAGCAGCCAGGAGTACCTGCAAAAGCTCTTAGACTCGGCCCGCCCCTTCCTCCGTGGCGAGCTGGAGGCGATCGACGAGAATTTGCCTTCACTTGTGGGTGTGCTGCGCTCAGTTGGAGCAGGTGAGTGCTGGCACAAGCATGGCACCTTTCTTGACCACCTGGTTGACATGTACCGCATTCTCAAGATATGGAAAGCCCAAGATTCTGTCTGCCTTTGCGGCCTCTTTCACTCTGCTTATTCCAATTCCTATGTCAACCTCGCCATATTTGATCCCTCAACCGGCCGTGACGTGGTCCGCAGCCATGTTGGGGAGGCTGCAGAACGCTTGATTTACTTGTTCTGCGTCGTCCCAAGACAGTCTCTAATTCACGACGACCTTTTGTTCCACTACACAGACTCGGAGCTCGTTGAACATCTCAAACAATCTGAGGTATCGCTTGCTGCCCCTGCCACTAATTCTAATTCTAATAATCAGGATCAGATTTTGGAGGATCACTCAGCAGCGCCTTGGAGTTGGAGGAAGAAACTGCAAACTCTTGTTCCTGCTAATGGGATTACAGTGAAGCACATAAAGACCGGGGAAGATGTCTTGGTCTCAAGGAGGGTAGTTGCAGTGTTTCTTATGATGACATTGGCAGATTTCAGTGACCAACTTTTTGGTTTCCAGGACGAGCTGTTTGATAACATAGATGGCCGCCTTGAGTTTAAGGGCAACAACTATGCAGCTCTGTGGCCTGGCGATGGCAAGCCGGGGCTTTGGATGAATTCCATATCAAGAATGGCTGCAATATACACTCTGATCGTGAGAGAGGAAGCGATTTTTGTTCAAGAGAGGAAAATTACTAATGCTACTGCAACTGGAGACAAGTTGGACAAATCTAGAGATGAAGATATTGAGCTGGTGGTGCCACCAGTTTTCGACAAGTGCACAAGGGTTCTGGATACCAAGGAGCAATTAGCTGCAAGGGACTTGTACTGGGAAGCTGTTTGTGGTATGTCGTCATCGTCTAAGAGAGAGATTGTTGATGATGGTAGAGGAGCTGATGATGAGGAAGCGACGGTGGTTCTGTTGAGATCGTGTGTTGAGAGAAACCCTTTTATTGGGGAGCCACATGTGGTGTTGGCTCAGGTTTATTTAACAAAAGCAAAGTTTGAGGAGGCAGAGAGAGAGGCAGAGAGAGGGCTGACTCTGATGTTGGAATGGGGGAGTGCTTGGGACAAGAGGATGTCTTGGGAAGGATGGATTGCTTGGGCAAGAGTGCTGCTAATGAAGGCAAGAGACAGATCATGGCCACAAACTTCCTGGGGCATCCTCAACTTGGGCCTTGTCAAGTAGACACTACTCACTCACTCCATACACACATCCACCCATCCGTCCGTCCGTCCGTCCGTCTGTCATCTTCGTATATAAATAAACAAATAAATAAAAGCTCTCATGAGTCATGAATCAGTCCTCGTACGGTACCTTGAATCAATAAAGGGCATGCACCTCCTCGAGCTCTAGCTCCAGCTCCAGGTATGCTGTGTATCAGTTGTGCGTGTGTGTGTAGGAATGAATGTTTTCCAGGACAGGACATATCTGGATGTTTTCTGGACATATAATGTTTTCTAGGACAGGACATATGTGGATGTTTACAAATAATGTTTAGTGTCATATATATGAAGGAAAGAGTGATGTTTTTCTTCTCTCTTGCCAATACATAAGCATCAGTGTTTGCAACATAATTTAACCTTGCAAGAGAAGATTACCATATACATATATGGCCAGTCAACCGGTAATTGGAGGAGGGGGAATTCGACCACAAAACTTCGAGGGTAAGGGTAATTGCTCTTAATCATTTCAACTACGAGGCCCCGCTAATAAAGTTTCCTTTTTAAAACATGTCATGTTGATCCATATAAACTTTGAACATGAAACAAGAATCATATGGTAGGACCCGCTAGGTTTTTTAGCTTTACAAGATTAGGTAATACTATGCCTGCCTAAAATATCTTCTTCAACTTGAAAAGACTCCGAAATCTTGGTTTCCAGTTCCGCATAGATTCAACATCCTAGTCAACATTGTCGATCCATATGCATTCATTGGGGGCCAATTCCCCTTTAAGCGCAATCAACGCAACCTAATCTAATTCAGGTTTGATCACTCATTTACGAGGAAACCCAAATCATTGAATTTATGTTCTTTGACAAATATAACATGTCATTTGATTTGAGACACAGATTTGGTCCATGGTTGAAATTGGTGTCCACGATATTACTTACACAAATAATTTTATTTATAATAATGCTTCAATCAAATTTCGTTTTCTCTCAAAAAAAATAATAATAAATCTTCAAAACACGTCTTTATTGATTGGAAATAAATACTAAACTTTTATTTTAGAATTCCTCATTTTCAATCACCATCAAACTATAACACCGGCGGACCCAGAATTTTTTTAGCGGAGGTGCAATATTGACTAAGTACGAAAAATGGTTTTTCAGAATAATCATTTTCTCAAGATAATTTTTGGCGGCTTTTATTCCTTAAACATCAAATAAGAAAACTTGATTTTATGGGATTTTAGTATGAAGTATATAATGACTTAATGAGCCATCATTTTTAGCATAAATCATATTTTGCACTAAAACCAATTTTTCATATTTTGATTTGGTGGAAATTTGATTTTCTAGTATTTTTATTTGAATTCAAATGAGGAGTACTTCCTTATTTACATTGTAAACTTAAGTAAATTGAGTAATATAAAAATAAATGAAAGTAAAAGGGTTGAATCTGTACACCAGTTGAACAAAGGGGTAATTTGAAGCACCTACAATGGTTTTTCCAGCAAATGAGCAATTTAAAACCATTGTAGATCCGCCTTAATAGGTCCACCACTGAACTACAAATGTTTGTTAGGCTTATTGCTTTTTTTCTTTTCTTTTCTTTCCTTCCTATGGGACAGGACAATGGAAGAGCTATCACATGCGCCTGCCCGTGTAGATAAAGAGCTGGGTGACATTCAATCAACTTGACTCAATTAAATTTCAAATAAAATAATTTGTAATGTGAAGTTCCAGCCATGCCCTCCATCCAGTAGAGAGGACATAAAATTCGAATTCTATTTATGAAAAGTTAGGAGAGAAATACAAGTTAAAAGACCAAATAAGTCAAAACTGAAGGACGATAGTTTGACAAACATCCCCCTTAATAAGTCAAAGCTTCTCCACTGCAGGCATGTGCATGGACAAGCGTTACTAGAAAACCCTAGATACTTCTTTTACTCAATCACTTACTGTATGCAAAATGCAAATGATCACTACAGCGAAGAACATGGTATATATATATATATAGGCTAGTCTATGTGAATTAGGATAGTTGATTAGAGCAGTGTGTTCATTTTTGTGTGTCGGGATTTGAATATCTTATCCCTGATTAATTAAAGTAATTTAGAACATGACACAGTAAAATTAAAATAAAAATAAAAACAGAACAAACTTTATTAATTAAAATTAAAGATGTGTGTAGTAGGGATAACATTAGCATTCAATTTAAGACAGATTAAAGCACTTTTGCTAGTTAGAATCTATTTAAGACAGATTAAAGCACTTTTACTGGTTATAAAGCTATCTTCCAGATTAGGAAAAGTCAATAATCATGAGCAATCAATGGAACTTCTTAGGAGCAGATAGATATGGTGGTACCGATCAGGAGGGGGTAGTTGCAACATATCTTAGGTAGATCAAGGGAGGTGATTTTCACACTTCCCTTTTCTATCCATCTAACCATTCTTTTATCATCACTTGTCTTTGTCGTACTATTAAAACTCAGATTATACCGTTATAAATGTTGCAATTGATTTGCTTTGGAGAAAATTGTCCAGCTATTTGACAAACGGTGAAAATTACTTTCATATATACCTTTTTTAAAAGGAGTGTTTTTTGGGGTTAATTTTGATTTCGTACCATGAACTCTTACTCTTAAGGCACGTTTGTCTATGCACTCTCAATTTTAACGATTACACACCCAAAGCTTTTTAATTTTTTTCCATATGGTTTCGGCGTTAATTGATTGCATGGCAGTCATGGGTCTCACCTATTTGCTTATTTCGACGTCAATAGAAGAGTATTTTCAAATAATTGGTGTCTTCTCACCCATGAAGAACACATTGCACGCATTAATACCAAACCCTTTTTTATTTATTTAAACAAAATACCCTTCAATTGAATTGAAATAAGTGAATAGATGGGACCCAAGTTTGTCACACAAGCAATTAACGAAAATTTTGACAATAAAGTTAACGCCGGAACCAAATTGCACAAAATTAAAAAACTTATGGTATGTAATTGTTAAAATTGAGAGTATAGGGACAAACGTGGCTTAAAGGTAAGAATTTAGGGTACTAAATTAAAATTATTATTTTTGTTTTAGGCCTCAATACAATATGAATTAAATTTGAAGCAACCAACCAACCAAACCCAAAGTCACATGAAAGTATTTCCCTCACAGCTTAGAAGTCAGGCGCTTTTTAACTCCAAGCCAAACCAGCAGAAATTATAGCCATCTTCTTTGGCGCAAGAAATGATTGTTGGCACGCACCAGCAGCATGAAACTTGTGGAGGGCGATGAGCGCTGCAAAATAAAGGGTTAATTGATTTCATTTCTAAAAGTTCAAAAAACAAAAAAACTAAGCAGGAGATTTTGAATCTAGTGCGCTCCAACGTTCAAAGTGCAACTAGGATCCTCGTGATCATCAAACGGTCACAATTTTATTTTACATGTGAAAGTCTTTAAATTGATTTTCCCCCCTCATCTTTCATCAAACATTCTATTTCCTTCCCTCAAACAACTATTTTGCTCTTTTGGTTGTTACTAGTATAAATAAAGAGGGACAGTGTTCTCTTGAGACATATCCAATCCACCCATCCATCCATCCCACATTTTTATTATTAGCATTATTATGTATTCTGAAACACACTTCCATATTCAGATTGTTTCCATTTCCACCATCTTTTTCATCATTAAACCTTCCTGTCTACGGGAAGGCCTCGAGAAATAGAATAAGCCCGTGTCTGCTGCTTTCAAGCTTTAGCTACTTTTTCCATTTTAAATTATAATTTTGGGACCATCTAGCAAGCTAGATTTCACCCCACCCTGTCAATCAGATCCCAAATACACTAGAAATTTTCATATTTTTTTTCCTTTTTCTTTTTCTTCTAAATAATCAGATCGTTCATCATAGTGATCAAAATGAAAATGCCAGTCGTGGTCCTGAGATGGGTTTCCAACTCCAAACAAAATATGCTAGTATTATCACTAATATTGTACTGTATGTTGTCAATAGTGCTAGTGTCCTCGTCTGAAACTCAAACAGAAACAGGAGGAGGAGGAGGAGGAGAAGGAGGAGGTTCCCCTGTTTGCGCAGAAGCAGATAGAGCTTCCCTTGTGAGCTTCAAAGGCAGAATCATCAAGGACACAACAGGAATGCTTTCTTCATGGATAGGCAGAGACTGCTGTGGAGGAGGTTGGGAAGGTGTTGAGTGCAATCCAGCTGGGAGGGTTACTGGGTTGCAGTTGCAGAGACCAGCTACAGCTACTGGTGATGCTGCTGCAGATGGAGACTCTGGGCTTTACATGAAGGGCACTCTCTCCCCTTCTCTGGGCAATTTGAATTTCTTGGAGGTAATGGTAATCAGTGGGTTCAAGCAAATCACAGGTCCAATTCCTGAGAGCTTCTCTAATCTCGCCCACCTCACCCAATTGGCCCTTGAAGACAATTCCCTCGGAGGGAACATTCCTCCAGGTTTAGGTCAATTGTCCTCCCTCCAAAGCCTCTCCCTCAGCGGCAACCGTTTCAGGGGTCAGATTCCCCCGACCCTAGGCCATCTCACCAATCTCGTCCAAATCAATTTAGCAAAAAATTCCCTCACTGGTCCAATCCCTCCCACTTTTCAAAATTTTCATGCTTTGCAGTATCTTGATCTCAGCTTCAATATGTTGTCCGGCCTCATTCCAGATTTCATTGGTGGCCGCTACTTACCAAACCTCACTTTGATTGACCTCTCCAATAACCAGTTTTCTGGTCAGATGCCCATTTCCCTCTTCAGCTCGCCCAAGCTTTTGGACCTCTCCCTGAACCATAACCAGCTGACCGGCATAATCCCAGTCCAGGTGGAGGGCCTCAAATCCCTTACCAGTCTTTCATTGAGCTCCAATCGCCTTACCGGCCACATTCCCATTTCCATTTCAAAGTTAAACAGCCTCTGGTACCTAAATTTATCTGCCAATGGGCTTTCAGACCCTCTTCCCTCTACCCTTGCCACGGGCATTCCTTCTCTCTTGTCAATAGACTTGTCTTACAACAAGTTCAGTTTGGGGAAAGTTCCAGATTGGATCAGGAGCAGACAGCTTCGAGATGTTCATCTTGCCGGCTGCCAGTTAAGCGGAACCCTCCCAAGCTTTGCAAAGCCTGATTCTTTCAACTCCATTGACCTCTCTCATAATCATTTTACTGGTGGAATTTCAAACTTGTTGACCAACATGTCAAGCCTGCAGAACCTCAACCTCTCCAACAACCAACTCAAGGCTGATCTTTCAGAAATCAAGTTGCCCGACACCGTTTCTTCCCTCGATGTACACGCAAATCAGCTCACCGGATCTCTCTCAGGGTCGACAGGAATCTTAAATGACAGGG